TTCCCTCTATTTATATCTCTCATTATATTTCTCTCTCACTCTCTCTCTCTCTCTCTCTCTCTAATGTCACATATTTCCTGATAAATCCAAAATTCCTGCTTCTACCAAAGCTTCCTCATTGATTTCATTCAATTCGAATTCAAATTCCATTTCACTCAAATACAATTTTTAATTTGTATTTCCCATTTTGTATTTTCTGTATTCTTTTTTTATGGTTCTGTTAATTACTGTTTGCTTCGCTGCGACTTTTTCTAATTAAAACTTGAAGCACTTTCGCAGAGAGGCCAACATTGCGAATCATTATCTCTGTTTGGCTTATTAGCAAATCGAATGGCTCTAGTTTGTTTTCTTTTATTTAATGAAGCGATGCTTAAAGCGCACTTTTCGATATTCCATTTCCAGAGACCACTCACCATGGCTTTTAGCGATTACACAAGCCACGACAAAAATGCGGCAAAGAGAACAGTTGGCAATGAGATAATAATACCAAAAAAAAAATTAAAAAAATGAAATAAATTGTAGAGCATGAAATTCTTTCAATAATAACACAACAAAGTCGCTCAACACAGCTGGATACTTTTGCACAATGAGCAATTGTCGAGCCATAAAAATTCTATGGAATTGTATGAGCATAAAATACTCGAAATAATTATTGAAAATAGGCTTACAAAGTCAAAAGATTTTTCCAATATACATATATTTTCCATTATGAAAGACAAATTTTTATGAAACAACATTTAATCAAATCGGCCTAGAAGAGCTTAAACAGAATTTTCCATTTATAAAAATCAATTTTACTCTCAATCAATCAAGTTTGAGCTCAAAGAAATAATCAAACCCGGATTTTATGGACTTGCCAATAATAAAGAATAAGTTAGTCTATTATTCTATTAGTCAATCAAATAGTTGATAAGTCAATCAACATTTCATTTCATTTGATTTGTCCATTCTTTGCTCAACTTTTTTAATATTTTTCTCTTGCAAGAAAGCTAAAAATTCCCCTTGCAGTCTATCAAGAATTGCTCTATTTTATAGCACACACTTCTCAATTTAATTGCTCTAATTTTCCCAAAAAATAAAGAACTTGTATATTTTTCCGTGAGTAATTACCCGAAAGCACTTGAAAGTTAAAAAATGCTTTTAACGAGAATTTCGTCTCACTTTTGCTTTTTTCGTTTTATTTTTTTCTCTCTTTCATTTTTCCTCACAATTATTTGAAGCCATAAAAAAGAATGTTGGCTAAGTAACTCAACTGATAGGCCAACTTCATATTGTATTTCCGTCGCCTTCGAGTACTTCCGTTTCTTATATAAAATATTTTTTTTTTTTTTTCCATTTTTTCCATTTATTGCTACTCGTTGCCAGGCTAGAAAGCCAACGAGCTCCTGTACCCTAACAAAAGGAATGCAAACAAATTTTTGCACTTTTTTTGTGTGAGCTCGCGGCTCAAGAAAGCCAGCGAGGAGCCACAGTTGGGCATCTTGGCATATTTTCATAAATATATATAGTTAATGGCCGCGAGCTCTATTAGCGCATTTTGCTGGCATTTTTATGGTGTGCGTCAGGTCATTGCATGGGAATCCAGCGGAAATGTAAGACGATTTATGCTCGTTTATGAGGTGAATGGTTTGAATGAAAGTCGATATAGATTTTGATTGGAGATTAGAGAGAGAGAGAGAGAGAGAGAGAGAGAGAGAGAGAGAGAGAGAGAGAGAGAGATAGAGAGAGGAACGTGTACATGAAAGAGGTAGAGCTACACTGCACTAAGCTTAAGCGAAGGAATTATTTTATTTCTATATTCTTTCTTTTACTCTATATTATTTCTTATTGAAAATAAGAATATATATTTTCTATAAATACCATATATTCTATATATACCATCCATTTATGGTTTTATCAAAGAAAGCATTTCTTATTTTTCCAAATTAAAGCATAAATATTTTATACAAGCTTCAGTTCTCATCCTTCAAAGATAAATCAACAACCGACTCAGACTATGTTAATCGGAGTCTCCTAACTAGAAGATGTCCGACTCATTGAAACATTTACACATGCTAAAGGAAGATTCGCAATTTGTTGTATTTTGACACTCAGTTTACTCTGAAATTACTCAACAATTAAAACTTTATATGATAGCTCCAGCCTCTCATAATCTCATTGAAGTCCAACATAAATTCAACTATTTTAAGGTTAATGAGCTGGCATTATGCAGTCGTTGGCTCGCGTCCATTAACCAAATTATAATGATAATCGCTGGCTAATTGCTTTTTAGCCGATAGCCAGCAATTAAATGGTTTTGTTTTACTTTTTGAGCCCCGTTAACAATAATCAGTTAGCTGACAGTTGATGGTTGTTCGATTTATCTGCGGCATGTGCCGCACGGCTTCAGGCTATGCCAGAGCGAGCACAGATAATTGTAGTGCTACCACTCTGCAAATGAAACGAAGCGTTGCCAGCCCCATCGACTCACACACACACACACACACTCAGGGAGAGAGCGAGTTATAACTGAGCAAAGTGGCTTGCATAAAGTAAACAAATTACGCTGTTGACCTTCATTCGCTGTGCTGGCAAAAGTTTTTGCCTTTGAATATGCCTCAATTGAGGCAGCACAAAGGATAGAATATAGAATATAGAGCAGAGGCAACGACAGCAACTGCCTCTGCCTCTGCCGCTGCCGCTGCCTCTGCCTCTGCCGCTGCCTCTGCCACAGACTCACAGACAATTTCCTTAGCATATTTATAGGCATTATTTTTCAATGATTTCAGCCAGGGGACTTTCCCTCGTTAGCGGCCAAAGCTCCACTTGTTATTATTGTTTTGTTGCTGTTGTTCTTGTTGTGGAAGCAGATTTATGCTTTTCGAAAACTTTTTTAACAATATCTTGAATTTACGATTGTCAAAACATACATACACACACACACACACACACACACACACACACAATATATAGTCAGGAACTTGCTTAACTAACTGCCTGTACACTGAGAGAAGTGTTTTAGTCAGTATTGGGAAAATATCAAAATTGAAATGGATTTTAAAAGTTTCCAAAGGATCTTATATAAAAATAAGAGATCTGGAATATGAGAGTTTTCTAAGAAAACTTTTTTTATAATAACACATAAGATATCAAAAGTTTTCTCTTTTTATATTTAAATAAAATAAAATAATATTATTTTTATTGGTTTTCCTTATACTCTGATGGCCTTTTAGTGCCACATTTTCCAAGAAATATTAGATTTATTAATTATTTATTTTTATTTTATTTTTTTTCTGTAATATATATTTGTAGAAATATAAAAAAATATTTTATTAATTTTTTTATTTATCTGTTTTATTAAATATAAAAAATATATTATGTTTATCTTTTTTATTAATCTTTTTTATTAAATATTTATATCGAAATATAAACTGCATTATTTTTTCTTACAGACATATGTATATTAATATATTTATTTATTTTTTAATATTCTGCTATAAATTATAAATTATAAATTTACGAACAATTAAATTAAAGAAATATTTTAATTTATATATTTTTGAAATATTCTGTTATATATTTATGGACAATCAAATAAAATTAATTTTGTTTAAATATATATATAATTTTTTTTTTTATTTTTTTATTATTCATAGTTATTATAATTATAATTATTTGTATTATTATTGTCACATTAAAATATATATAAATAAAAATATATGTATATTATTTTCTCATGTAGCTCTTTATTTTTTGGATCTTTGTTGTTTTGATTTAGTAAACTCGCTTGAACATTTAATTAGTGTCGCCAGCAAGTCGAGCAAACTCGATAAATAGGCCGGCTATTACGTGGCAGCCAGTCTCAGTTGCCGCCGGCTCAGCTGCCTAGTTTGACCTTCACTCTGTGTGAGAGGCAAGCGAAATTGACTTGTTAAAAATGCTGTGCACTGCATTTCGATGAGGCTTGGATGGTTCTGCTGCTGCTGCTGCTGCTGCTGCTGCTGCTTGACTGCACACATACACATTTACATTTAGTTATTCATATCGTAGTGTAACTGTAAAAAGTCAACGAACTTATTAGGCGCTCACTGCCCTTTATGGTCGCAAGCATTTCGCATTTACATTTTCAAGATATTTATCAGCGCGTTTTATTGGATAAATTTAAATATTTATATGATTGGCAGCAGCGACACGCCGACGCTGACGCTGACGCCGACGCTGGCGGCCAACTGTCACCAGAGCAACACGTTTGACAAATTGACATACTGGCAAATTGATGTTAAAATGTTAAAAACTCATCAAATAAATACGCACACAAAGCCTATCTCATTTACACACACATACGTACGCACAACAAAACTTTATTTCCAGCCAAATAAACATCCGTGGCCAATTATCAGGCACTGACAAGTCTGCTCTTGACAATTGTGTTAATGAGCTCCAGCCAATGTCAACTTCAATTGCAAAAGTCATGCGACACCCGTTGCGCAGTTCAAAGCATTAAAAAAGAAATCATATATATCTAAATAAATAAATGTATATATATTAAGAGGTTGCCTGACTAAGACTTTGCCTTAGTCTACCCAACTACTTGGCGAACTCTGCCAGACTGAAAGTTAGCCTCGAGTCTATCCAAGTCGACAGCTAAAAATATTTTAACAAGCTAGATCTCGTATCTAGCAATATACAGTAGAAACACGATAGTTCTAAAAGGCAATTCAAATTATCGAGAATTATGGAGAACGAATTTCTTTTTCGATTTATCGCGATCTTCGATTTAACGGGGTACGAATTGTCGAGACTCGACTCTACTTGGAACTGAATATATTTTGAGGATTAAACAAAATGTTACCAATGAAATTGATTTCTGCTTACAAAAATTGGCTTAAGCAATGAACTCCCATCATCATTATCAGAAATCTAATTTTGAATTTAAACTGTTTGCCAAGAAACTCATTTATTACCCTCAATAATAAACACAGCTATACAAAAATTGTTTTAAATACAATTGGCAAATCTCCTTAGAAGCAGACAATGCCCAAATGTAAAATCTTCTTGCAGAGCTTGGAAGTTTCGGTGGTGGTGGGCTTTGTTGGGTGTGGCTTGCGGGTCGTATGCTCGTCGTGGTCATGGTCATGATGTGAGTGATCATGATGTGGACGGCTATGATGTGGATAGCCATGATGCGGATAACCATGCGGCGGATAACCGTGGTGTGGATAGCCATGATGGGGATAGCCGTAAGGAGGAAATGGGCCAGGGAAGCCAGGACGACCAAAGCCTGGGTATGGGAATGGTATGAATGGTGGTGGTGGCGGTGGTGGATTGGATGGTATAGGTGCTGGCGTTGAGTTCGGGTCACTCGGATCCGTTGGAGTTGTGGGTTGTGGTGCGGGCAGCACTGGCACAGGATATCCCCAATAATAATAGGGATAATACGGATATCCGAGATACGTGTAAGGGGGAGCCTGCCGTCCCTCGGCAGCTGGTGATGCATCAATTAGGTTGAATCCCTCGAGCTCAGTGCTCGGATCACGAGAAAAATCATCCTGCTCCTCAACGCTATCCTCTTCCAGTTGCAAGTTCAGCGAGTCAGCGCCATCCTTGGCCAAAGCCAAGCCGCAGTAAAGTGACAGCAGCAGGCACAAATGAAATTTCAAGCTCATTTTAGGAGCGTTTGATTCAAACTGATTAATTGTCAAAATCTTCTAACGTATTTATAGTCGGATTGCAAAAGGTATTCCAAATTTATGGCGTATAGCTAAATGTTCATATCAAAGAGGACATCTGTAAAATTCGCTAATGGAAGACAACATCTAAAAGCAAAGGGCAAATAAATCTCGAATGCGATTCGCAGTGACAAACGAATGTAAATCAGTTGAGCTATTAAAATCAGTCAAGAACAGATCAAACGCTCACTTCTTATCAATCATGGGCGAGGCAGCGAAACAGCGAAACAGCGAAATATAAGAGCCAGCATCAGAGATAACGGCATTTTGCTTTTGTTCTGACAAGATTACAAAAACTCTAAAAACCCAAAACGAAGGGAGATGAAAAAGAATGAATGGGTATATGAGATATATCTATATGTATATGTTTTATACATGAGCAGCTATCATCATGTAGATGTGACAAATGCTTATAGAAGTTCAGTAAGGTCTGGGATGGTTTCCATTGCAGTCTAAAAACAAATCGAGTTGTTGCTGTTTTCATTTATTTAATATTCCATCTATATTGTTCAGCTATAAATCCAATTACAAATCAAGTTTAGTTTATTCTTTTAAGTAGGTGCAAATTTTGCCAATGGGGAATACATCCTTGCAAATCTTTCGTCTGTCAGAATCTGGGCGTTTAGTAGGTTTGTATGTGGGACGTTTTGTAGGCTTTGGTGTTGTTGTTGTTGTTGTTGGTGGCGGTGGTGGTGGTGGTGGTGGTGGTGGTGGTGGTGGTGGGAAGGGAGGGAAGCGAGGGAAGTTAGGGAAAGGACCTGTACCTGGACCACTACCGGGACGATTATTTTGATGCTGATGTCCAAAGACAAAGCCTGGGAAACCGTAGTATGGATACGGTGGATAAGGATATGGTGGAGGAGGGAATCCAAAGTATGGATATGAATAAGGATATGAATATGGATAACGGCCTGGAGAAGCCGCAGCCGCAACCGCAGAGCCGCTGGACCCTGTATCCGCACGTACGCTCACACCACTGTATTCCGCATAGTTTCCGGCGTCTCCATCGTATTCAAAAGATCCCTGTCGCTTAGTGCCAACAGTCTCCGTCTCGTCATCATCCTCCTCGGCGCTGTTCGCATCACTAAAATAGTCAGCGGCCACGTAAACCTCCTGATCGTCGATGCCGTCGGCCTCTACCTTATAGACGGCCGATTGGGAATCCTCCTTGGCCACAGCCAAGCTGCAGCCGAGTGCCAGCAGCAGGCACACAGTAAACTTTAGGCTCATATTCGAGCTGTCAATGGGGACTGATAGAGATCGCTCTGAGCAAATTAGTTTATATACACTTTTTGCTTGATTAATATGCGCAAAAATGGTCCACTGACGACTATGCTGAATGATATTTTCATTCTGAACACAATGGCAAGACGCCCAATTTTTATGAAAATCATTTGGTATTCGCTTAGAACGTAACTGAATCAGATCGCGGTTATGGCTTTGTTCGTGTTTATTATTGTTTAACATTTGCATATTTCAAATAAATCAGATACAAAAAGCTCATATGACGACATTGTGGATAGTTAAAAGTGGGCCTTTGAATAGAAGAAATTTGCGTAGAAGGGAGAACATTTCTTTTATATGGATATCTTAATTATGTGGCAAGCAATTTCTATTGTAAATCATTTTACTACATCATATATTTGGTATATAAACTCGCATCAGCTTTTCCATCTGAGATCTTGTTTTGCATAATTTAAAGACTGTTTTTTATATTTGGTCGCTTTCTTTTTTATTTATCATTACCATAAATGGATATGCCTGATGTACAGGCAAGGCCTAAGGTCGGAATTTTCGTACAAATTCTCACAATATCAGGTCTTCTTCTTGGAGGTCGGTAAACCGGAGGTCGATACACTGGAGGTTGGTACACTGGAGGTGGGTACACTGGAGGTGGGTACGCTGGAGGTGGGTACACTGGAGGTCGATACACTGGAGGTGGATAAGCCGGAGGTGGATAAGTTGGACGTGGATAGGCTGGAGGTGGATAAATTGGATGTGGATAAGCTGGAGGTGGGCCAGGATGCGGTCGATGTGGAGGATGTGGTCGATGTGGAGGATGTGGTCGATGTGGAGGATGTGGTCCTGGACGAATAGGCCATATTGGAGTCGGTCTCGTTCGGCACGGATAAAAGTAGGTATGATCCAGAACGGTAGTATTGCAATAATACGGATAAGCGAATTGGGCCAAATCAACATCAGTACGGTCAGCAAGAACCTCGTCTTGACTCAGATCGTCATATTCCTCATCAGATGTGTAATCGTCATTGTAGTCCTCCTCAATGGGCAGAGCTAGAGCCGCAAAGCCAGAACACAAAAACAAAGTTAGCCCCAAGTAGAAGGCCGCTTTGGAGTTCATTTCGTAAGCGTTTCTTTCTAAATGGCTGGCTTTGTCTTTCGCAAATATGTTTTTATAGACAAAAGATATGTATATTAATTATGGTCAATGATTGACCCCTAATGCATTCAGCATGCGGACACACTTAACCCAATTTCACCAACTAAGTGGAGTGGCCCAGAATGAAATACGTTTCACATTTGACACGGCCACTAAAAAAAAGAGAGCCGCGTCCATAATCAAACGATCTATTCTAATTCAAATTAGTTGAGCTCATATCGTCAGCTTTGGGAGCACAGAGGGGCAACAAAGTCCCAAATTTATGGTAATCAATGTATATCGGATTAAATTTGTCTTTGAATAAATTAAAAATATATTTATTTTTATATGCAACTTGGAATCGGAATGCCATTAATTATTAGTTTGCAACTTTTTTTATGACCATTTAAACTTTATAATTTGCTAATTTGAATTAAGAGTACCTCGATTAAGGGGATCCCTACAACGACAATTAAGTCTTGTACCAGAGATAAGAGATCTGAAAGTTTGTGCCAAAATTAAACACGTCTTCAAATGCCCTCAGCTATAAATGAAAAACTCGATTGTTGAGATGTCTTTAAAGTAGACATGAATGAACATGTTAGTTTGAGATAGTTGTAATTAATTAGTACTCATTAGTTGAATCACTGCCCCTTACTCATTAGCATATTTCGAGTAAATAAGGTCAAAGCCTTGCAAAATGAGTGAAATTTTCATGGGAATGTGCACAAATCTTCAACACGTGTTATTCTTAGATAGCTCTAGTTCATCGGTACTCATTAGTTGAATCAATATTATGTACTCATTAGCATTTTTGGCCTAAATAAGGTCAAAGCCTAACGAAACGAGTGAAACTTTAGAGTGAATGTGCAAAAATCTTCTACACGTGTTCCCCAACGCGCCAGGCATTTGACATTAAACAATTTAACCTACCTAATTAGTTAAATGATTCAAACTTTCATTCACACTTTAATGACGCAAACAGTCAGAGCTAATTTAAATTCCAAATAAAGAATTCAAATATTATTGGTCGACATATCAACTTTGACATGAGGGAAAGATATTAAATTGAGTTTGGAATATATGCACATATTCTAGGGAACATATATTACTAGAAAAATTGATCTCGCGCGGCTAAAAGTCGACGGATGGTAACTATTTATGCGTCGCACCGATTAGCATATCTAATCGGGAAAACATTAATGAACTACGAATTCGTGTGCCGACACGCCTCAGCAAAATCAACTCTATATAAATACGCTCTGCCACGCTTAGAGGATCAGTTCAAACAATAAAAGCAAATCAATAGGCCACACAAATGAATATGTTCAAATTTAGTTGCGCATTGCTTGTGCTCTGTGCACTGGCGCAAACGCAAGCGGTCAAGTATCGGGCACAAGCTCGAGCCGGTGCAGCACTACCCATATCTGCCGACGACGTGGACGAGGAGCCTGAGCAAGAGGGACGTGTCTTTTCGATTATACGCGATTCGGATCGGGATAGACATCATGATAACAGGCCCATTATAATACAGCAACCACATCAGCCGTCGTATCCACACTATCCATCTTATCCAGTTATCCACCCGCCGCATCCACAGCCATATCCACAGCCCTATCCACAGCCCTATCCACAGCCATATCCACAGCCGATCCCGTATCCAGTGCCATCGCCCCACCATCACCATCATTCGGAGAAACCAACGATTATTAAGCCCATCATAAAGCCAATTTATCGTCCACGACCTGGCTGGGGCTATGGCGGCTATGGCGGCTATGGTGGCTTTGGCGGCTATGGTGGTTTTGGTGGTTTGGGTGCTTTAGGTGGCTTAGGTGGTTATCGTCTACCATTCATCAACATAACCTACGCACCCGTTATGGCTGCAGCCAAAACTGGCACCGGCACTGGCACTGGCACCAGCCCCGGCACTGGCACTGGCACCAGCCCCGGCACTGGCACTGGCACCGGCCCCGGCGACAAAAGACGCAGTTCTGCCAATCTCAACGATTTGAATGGCTTAGCCGAGCTGTTGGGTCAGGCCCTGAGTCAATCACAACAATTTACAGGCCAGAATTCATATCAACCTGATCAGCGATTCTATCAACAGCGAGCGAATCCACAACAATTCTATGCCCAATCCACAGACGATCAACTCTTTGCATCAAACGTGATGCTGCAGCCGGAGCAGGAGTTTAATGACCTCGACACAGTTCAGGCGCCGAGGAGAACTCAATATATAGTGCGCCGCACTCAGAAATCAAAGAAGAAGAACAAGAAGCGATCGCAGCAGCTGTTGTACCTGGCCGTCGCACCTGAAGTCGACTCGAATGCCCAATCCGAACTAATGGAGGAAGCTGCCTAATTTCAAACAAGCCAACAAATTATGAAGTCACAGTCAATAAGAATATTTTAAAATAAAATTCTATATAAAATTGAACACGTATTTTTGTATGATTTTATTTTCTTGAGGGGCTTTGAGTTTTTTAAGTATAAGAAAAGCAAGTGGGATTATGAAAGCACAAACTATACCACAAAAAAAAAAAAAAAACAGAAGGCCTACAAATAGTTTCAGCTTTTGGAGTAGTCTAAATGTTTTAAAATTACACGAGTTATTCTTTAAAAAAAATAATAATAATAAAAATAAAATGAATTGTTATTAAATGTTTTAACTTTAACAACTTGAATTTCAATTGGTTTTAGTTTTATTTTTGTTTATTAATCATTAAATAATTTTTTTTTACGTTTATAATTTAAGCAAATTTAATTGTGCTACTATTGAACAATTGATAAATGTAGATATATAATTATTTTATTTAATTTTTATAAGTAGTGCCATAAAAATAAAAAAGGCATAAAATGTAGTAGAAATAATTTTAATTTTAATATTAATAATTAATTAATCATTTAATTTTAATATTTAGTATTTTTTTTTATTTTATTTTTATAAATATTTTTTTTAAATTGTTTTTTAATTAATTGTAATTAAAATTTTTTTTTTTTGTGTTTTTTTTTTTTTTTTTTTTTTTTTTTTTTTTGAAAATGCAAATTTCAAACGAGATTCATTATTTTTATTTTCAAAAATCTGCAAATAGCTCTCGAAAGTTAAGGACTTTTGCCAAGCAATTATGCAAATGGCATCGAGTTAATATTATTTTCTGGCGAAAACTTAAATCAGAAAACTAAAATCTAATTAGTTAAATGTCAATTATTTATTCAAATAGAAACTCAATTTAAATATGAGGTGAAAATATTGGGTCAAAATGGAGTCGAATCGCATGTTATAAAAGGCAGGCCGATCTTTGGGTCCCGGGTCAGTCAGTCAAGAGCAAGACGCCTAACAAGATGTCAGTGTGCCCGCAGCTCCAGCTGTTGTTGCTGTTGTTGGTGCTGGTTGCTGCAGCAGACAGCAAATCGATCGCTGCACAACAGGAGCTGCGACAAGCGCATCCGAATCCGAATCGCGTTGTGCTCGAATTGCCAACGATTAATTTCACCCGAATCTATAATGAGCGGCCGTTGATGCAGATCAGTCGCCTCTACAATCGACTTTTCAATTCCACCAAAGAGAAGCCAGAGGCAAACAATGTGCATAAGGAAGACGAAGAAGAAGCAGCAGCAGCAGCAGCAGCAGCGCGAAGACAACAGTCGCGTTGGCCATATCCATGGAATGACATCTATGATCCAGTTAGCGGCCGACAGCTCAACGTACAAATTCCGAATCAGGCAAATGGCCAGCAATTCTATGGTAGCCTAGGCGGCTTCAACTATGGAGCAGGAGCCGTGGCTGGACTTGGCTTTGGAACTGGCACTGGTCAGGGCTATGGCTTCACGTTTCCGGGCTATCCACAGATCTTTGGCTCAGGCGATTATAACAAGGTACCTACCGTGCAGGTGTTCGAGCAGTCCGGCTTTGGCATCGGCTCCCCCTCCAATTATTACAATCTAATTGCGACGAATAATGATCAGCTGAACGACGTCCTGGCGCCCTATCAACAGTGGGTGCTACAGCAGCAGCTGCTCAGTCCACAGCCTGCATTGCCCTACGACGGTGGGCTGGACTATGGCGAGGAGCTGGAGGATGTCGAGGTGGACAACGACTTTGGGTACGATAAAGACGACGACGAAGACGAAGACGAATACGATTTGGATGAATATGACGACTATGGCGATGGGCAAGACGAGGACGAGGATGAACTGTGGCGCCAGGCCGATGCCGACTCAAAAGTTAAACGCAAGAAAAATCAAAACAAAATCAAAAGCAAATCAAAGTCCGGCAAGAAGAAGCGCAAGCAACAGCGAGTGACTAAGTGAATTATTTATTAATTAATTAGGGTGTTAATTAAATGGACTGAAAGACATTGTCATAAAAAAAATATATATATATATATATATATATATACATATATATTTTTTGTTTGCTATTCTCTGTTTGTTTTGGTGAAATTTCTCAGCTTTGGTGAATTTCACTGTTTAGCATTTGGCAATTCAATTTGAGAGTTTACTAAATATGCAAACGCTTCGATAGCCGCGTTTCAGTTGGCCAGCGAGCTCGCAGCGCTATGAAGCGACAAGCAGCTCGAGATTTGATTGCCCTGATCTGTGTATTGGCGGCAGAGATTCAAAGCCAGCCTCTGCCGGTGTACATCAGGGAGAAGAGCGATGCCCGCACGACTCTGCCCTGGCTCTTGCTGCTCAGCTATCGGCCGCAAGTCGCTGTTCCCGTTCCCGTTCCCATCCGCCGGCCGCTAGATGAGTCAACGATAACGAGGCAGCCGACAGTACAAAGCGATCAGCCGGCCGATGCCAACGCCCAAATACGGGAGCAGTTTCTGCAAGGCCTACTACAGGGTCTGCAGTCCACGGAGGGCGGAGTCACCGTGCCGCCCGCTGTGCTCGCCGATGTGCTGCAACAGGTGCAGAAGACGACGACGACGACGACGACGACGACGACTGGAGCACCTAAAACGATGCTAGAAGAGGAAGCTAAAGAGCCCAACAGCAATGACAATGACCCCGATTACGATTATATAGACTTTAAGAACGGTTCACGCATCAAATACGAACTGGATAATGATCAGCAGTTAAATAATTCGCAGTATGCCAATAAAAGACCAGTTCGAGCTGGTCATTAGCTTAAGCTGATTAACTAAGCCCAAAATTGTTGCTATTCTATTTAAGTTGGAGAAAGAAAGATAATAAATTCAGACATTCACACACACCCAAGCTAAATAGCTTTACATATTCTATATAAGCACTCGAGCTGCTTTTCGAACTATTCAGTTCTAGACGTGGTGCTGTTTGGACGACGTGAAAGAATCTGATGAAATAAAAGTTTGGTCATCAAATCAAAATATGTTAATTGATCGCGCGTGGCTATTGCTCCTACTGGCTAGCCCCATATTGGCACAATATCCAGGGTATTACCCAAATCAATGGCCGTCGGCACCGGATCAAAATGGCTATAATCCATATAGTCCATACTATCAAGGCACCTATGACAGAAACACCTGGGAGTACTACAACTACCTTTACGATTTGGCGCTTCAACAATATTTATTGTATCTTCAAGGTGTGATTGTTAACCAAGCTACAACTACAACCACTGCGAGACCGCCAATCTCAACGACCCCAACACCTACAACATCGACTCCTACAACGTCGACAGCTATTCCCACTTCCACTGGAACACCTACAACGTCGACAGCTATTCCCACTTCCACTGGAACACCCACAACATCGACAGCTATTCCCACTTCCACTGGA